GCGATTGTCAACATTTCTGAGTTTAGGATGACCGAAGACACTACACTACCCATCATCCCCAGCTATCGTTTAGGACTACAGTCCCCGTAAGGTTACGCAGAGCGTCAAACAGCTGTGTGAAATGGAATGAAACCACGCCAGACTATCCAAAACTGGAATCGAACGCCCCCCCAGAACTACACATGCTGGCTATTGTGTTTCGCAAAATGTTCTATGGGACGTCTCTACTGAACGTTTTCGTTTTTCCCACAATTAGAAGTTGCCAGTATTAAACACATTGGTGTTATCAAATGTAAAACATATAATTAATAAATGGGTGGAAATCGCTTGTGTCCATAATGCGCAGCATTAATACCCACATGACAGCTCATTGTTACTTTGTAATTCTACTCCACTACAATTCAGAGGTTAACCTGGCATTTTTACTCCACTGCATTTATTTGAGTTACTTTGCAGATTCTGATTAATTATGTGAAATATAAACAACCCTTAAATCAGACTTTAGTTACACCGGAGTAAAATTCAGGTAAGGTGATTGTCAAGTGCCAACAATCAGGAGAGATATTTGATAGTTGGTGCTTGAGAAGACTAAACATGTATCTGCAATTGACATGAATGGAAACGAGTAATAAAGTATATTCATTACTCGTTATTCTCTACTAATAGTTAATTAAAGACTGTATATTATGGCTATTTTGCAGATCCCTTTCAAGATTTTCAAAGGTGTATTGACATATCATATACACAACTACGGTGTAGTTATGCAATGAATGAAACACTTGGGTCACAGGTTCCTCAACAGTGCATTACAAGACATCTATCAATATGTGTGTACCTCCACCATTAAACTGTCATATTCTGCACATTTCTTATTCTATCTACATACATAAGAGTATAATTCATATGTATAATATCAGTTAAAATAAGTGCTTCAACATAGTTAACATTGCAGGAAAGCAATATATTAGACGTTAAGTACTTTGTCAGGCTTAATATTTATCTGTAGATAGATACCCCCAAAGTTTTTTTCTTATTTAAAAGAAGACCTTAATCTGTTATTTAATGTTTAAATAAAGGTTAATTCGTTTTTCTGTTTTGCACCTCCTCCTATTAATATCTTTGTACATTCTGCACTAAACTGTTTTATTGTAGAGATCACTTATAGTATCTTCTTGATTTTTTATATTCTATATTTATACTTTTCCCCCTATGAAAGTATGTACTCTTAATATTTTTTTAAACAAATAAAACACAATAATTCAATAACGTGCTTTAACCACTAGGCGGTGCACACAAGGTACACACAGCCATAATAACTTTGTATTATTAGTGTAGGATACTTTTGTTTTTGTACAACATCTGAAGATGTGTAGTTTTATGCATGCTTTCACATAATTTTACAGCATATTGCTATACTGACTCAGTATTTACATTCTTACATTCAAAGAAAATCAGTAATATCTTTAAAAACTACAGTCCTTTTATATCAGCTGTGCACCGTTATGGTGTAAATATAACCTATCTGTGAATTAGATCAGATGTAAAAGTCAGCCGAATTTGTGTTGAAACTGCAAGGAGACGTATTGTGTGAAGAGAAATTGAAGATGTTGTTTAATTGTTGAATATATTTATGATCCACGTCAAGTATTCAGTTTCGGCGGCATTTTCTCAGTTTTTCCAAAGGTCTTCTCATCAGGGCTCTATAAATAAAGAACTACGGCAGATCTGTAATATGTAATGCAGCCGAACCGTGTATTACAATGCCGTTATGTGATGACTTTCAAAGAGAAAAGCAAGAGCGCTCGGAATTAAGTATTTTATTATTTTAAAATGTTTTCCGGATTTCATATCATATAAACACCAAATCCCAGCATGCATTGCGGCTAAAACATCCAATAAGCGAGCTTAAAACCATAGCTGAGGATCTTGGGTAATCGCTCGAAATGCCTACGTCTGTTTCCGGTTATTTTTATTTTGAAATTCAGTTCCTGACGGACGCCAAAAAAGCCAGAGATTATGGAATTAAACCAATAAATAAAAGCAAGGATAATTGTGTGTTATTGGTGAGTAAATAACAGTGTGTTATTTTGAAAAGAATAACAAATTATAAGGAAAAAAAGATTTAAAAAATACAGATTTCAGTATTCTGAGGCTCTGAGCCATTTATTTTCCTCACAGACGGCAACAAAAGTCCGAAATTATACGATTTCAAATAAAAGCAATAACTGTGGCTTGATATTGAGTAAGAACATGTTTTTATGAACCACACAGCTTCCGGTCTTCCTCGACCCGACCGGAGAAAAAGACGTGCTGCAGGCAGTAGAAATACATTGCTTTTAAAATCGTGCTGTGCAACACGAAAAAAAGGGACAAATCGTGTTGGTGAACACGAATCAATAGATTAAAAATCGTGTTGGTGAACACGAAATGCCATGAGACTGGGTTGTATATATCAAATGCACCATATTGGACTCATCATTGCAAACTGTATAGCCTAACTGGATGGTCCTCACTTACTATGCGTAGGATGCAGCATTGGTTTCTATTAATGTATAAAGCCATTTCAGGTAAGCTTCCACTGTACATATGTGCCAGATTTGCCCCAGTTTGTGACTCTTACAACCTCACATCCAGTGCCGGGATACGGTTCCAGGTACCTGCTGTGCGGACTGAGGCTGGAAAAAGGAGTCTTTTTTATTATGGTCCTTGGTCTTGGAATGACCTTCAATCAAGCCTAAAACTGAGGGCACTTGTCTCAATAGAATGTTTTAAATTGAAGTTGTCTGAAGTCCTTACCACCAGCTGCTCTTGCAGTAATAAGTAGTGTACCTTTCTTACTGTCCTAATGTGCACAATGTAGTGACTGCTTTTTCGTCTTTTGTTTTCTTAGTTATGTTCTCTGTATTTTATATGTTTGTGTTATGTGTTATGTGTAACGGTGCTGCCTTCTTGGCCAGGTCAGCATTGAAAATTAGATTTTATCTCAATGCTTTTATCTGGTTAAATAAAGGTTAAATAAAATAAAATATGGAAAACCCTGTGAAGATATAAGTTGTTTGGTGAGTCATAACAGAATATTGCAAATTGAAATGGAGCAATGAACATACAGTATATTGCATGTGTAGAAAAAAAAGAATTCAAATTAAAAACAAAGCATTAAAACCATAAATGTATTTTATTAATTACCGCAGACACTAGAAACAAAATGAATCCAGCCATGTTGTGATGAACTTGTATGTAAATAGCCCCAGGATTTCTGGAAATGCATTTTTTGAGAAGCAATTAAACTTTAGACCATCTTCTTTGTAACTGTGACGATTTTTTCATGAACACAACAGCCACTATGTGTAGACCAGAGTGGAGCGTCTGTCCTCGAGTGGAACTCCAACTTTATCCTCCCCAGGTGACATAGACTGCACACCCAGCCCATATAACCACTGTGAAGTTTGTAAAAGAGGAGGCTGTAATTGATGACTTGAAACTGCAGCACCAAGACATGAGGACAATTAATCCTGCCTAACCCTTAAAGACGTCTGCTTGATACAATAGAGGATGCCAGATCCATCTGCGGAGTCAAGATGTAAGAGTCATGCATACATGCAGACAGGGAAAGCTATGGCTCCTAATTCTGCTCATTAATCACCTGTCTGCTGAACATCCTCCAGAGAAAAACGCTCGGTTCCTCGAAGGTAATTACAGCACTTGAAGGAACGCTCTCTGCTGCAAATGCTCATAAGTAGCCACCTTATTCCTCTCCTACCCTGCCTTCTCTGTCTCATCCATGTCCTCTGGAGAAACGTCCTCCTCCTCCTCTCAAGCCTTTTCTGCTGCACCGCTCTTGCTCCTCTTTAGCTATGTAGTCAGCAGACTTTTCTTTTCCTGGGCACACATCCATTTGGCATCCGATGTGAGATAAATAAATGATAGCCTCTAAAATCAATGCCCAGTACATGATGTAGGCTGTAGGCTTAGTGCTTGCCACCGGGCTAGAATTATGCCACTGGGACTTGAACAGGGGCATTTCTTGAGCCCTTTCCGTCGCAGAGACTAATTGAGGTTTTGAGGCATCATTTGTCTTAAAAAGCAAAGCAAATCAGTTCAATCAGGAGAGACTTCATTTTGTTTAAAGAACATGTATTGACACATGTCATATGATAAATGTTAAGTCTTTGGCGATTAGACCCCGATCCTGAAATCGTATCTAACGGGGGAAATGCAGCCGTGAGCATATAGGGAACCCCCTGGTGTCTAGGCACTGGTGATGATGCTGAAGATCTGGATTTCATGAGGAGATGGGATGAAGAGGAGGTGTGATGAGGTCTTTGGATTAACTCTCCTGGTACTGGATATGATGAAAGGAGGTGGATGGGGAGGAGGCGGGCGGCAGCATGAACACCTGAAATCACAGCTGACTGCAGGAGAGATGAGAACCATTTTAAAGTTTGGCTGCAGCACAGTGATTGCTGGAGAATGAGGTGAATGTAATAGGTTATAGACAACGCCCGTGATGAGCTGATTATATGCAGCTGCGGAGTGAATGTATACTGTACGCAGTCTTCCTGAAAGAACTTGCGCTGAGCTTCATTTTGTCACACAGCATCCTGGTCTGAACCTGTTTGTTCCTTTTGAATCACTGCGGCGTCTGGAAACGATCTTACATTTCTCTACAGAACCACTCAAATAATCTAAAAATAAATCAAATACAGAAGCAGAGCAACATCTTTGTGCATTTATTTTTAAAGGCTGAACAGTACCAATGCAATCACTCAGTCTGTAAACTGTGTGTTGAAGTTGGCATGAAAGATTTATACTGTTACTGTCAGCGCATGGGTGATGTATTTTAAAAAAAAAGTTGTTGTAGTAATCTTAGATGGTTTTAGGGATTATAACGCTAGACTTGCATATCATATATATTTCAATGTGTCCTCAACAGCAGAAACTAAACGAAATGATCTCTGCTAATGCTCTCTTTCTTGTTCTTTTGTTTTCTGTGTTCCCAGGTGGAGATGACACAAGAGCCTGATCCTGATGACGAGGGGACAAAAATAAGTGTAAGTTAAAGAATACGTCATGTATCCCTGGTTGCAACCTAGTGCTTATCGAATGTATGCCATAATGACGCAAGTTGGAAGCATATCATTTCAAGGAAACACAACGGCAGTTGATTTCACCCTGAATAATACACCTTCAACCGGAGAAAGGAGCTAATCATTGAAATCAGTGGCAGCGTATTATTACTGTCAGTGCTTCCCTTCCTGTGTTCATGCCCCAGCAACCGTTCAGCCCCTTTTTTCCCTGCCACTGTGTATTCTGTGCCTAGTGCAACACACACCACACTTCCTCCCAATGAGTTATGATAACATTTTAAAGTAATGGAATGGATATAGGAACATCTGTTAGTTGTTCAGTAGGAATTGGAAAATGTAGCTGCATTCCTGGTTTGCAATAATTAACTTGGTAAAGAATCTTTTTTGAAAATCCATATGCAAAGAGACAACATGTTCATGCTGAACGTATCTGCGTTTGTTGAGGTTAAAAAATGAAATCATGACTTGAGGCACTAACAGCATGTGTTCACTATTAAACCGAAACTACAATCTTTCTCTTACCCTACATTTGCTCTTTTTTGTCTAACGGCACCCAGTCTCCAGCATCGAACTGCTGTGCTTTGTCCACTTGCTGTTTACCTTAATAGCCTTTTTACGTCCACTGTAAAAATTGTAGAATGTAGCAATATGTGAACTGGGAAAAAAGCAAAAATATATCTATAGACGTATTTTCTCTTATATTTATTTAGTATATGTGAACTTCCAGTTAAATTGCTCTGATTAACATGCATGTTATAGACAGTTCTCTCTGCTGTTCTTTGTCCTGTACAGGCCTCTTTGGAGGGTTGTGGATTGCAGACTTGCTCACAGATCAAAATGTAGCAGCTAGAGTTCAAATGCTTATGAGTTTTTAACTGTAAAACATGTAATATAACACCTGAGGAAGTTATTTCACAAGCTTTAACTTTGCAATCATTGCCTGATTAGTTATAAATATGTTATGTTATGTAAAAATATGTTAAAAGGAAACCAGGTTTTCACGGTTGCACAAATGTACTCACTTGATTCACCGAATGTATAAACATTTCTACATCCCCTAAAAAAGAAAATATATAATTTAATTAAATCATTTAAATTAACATTGCAAATCGTTATTAATTGCTTAACTGCAACTCTGTGATCACTTTCTTTTTTTGTCAAATAATGCCAAAAAAACCTAACCATTTAGGTGATTTATTAATCAAGATTCAACTGAGAGTTATTTATCAGTTTAATCTTGAGAAAATGTATTTTATTTAATTACATTTTGTTTCCCAATTCAAGACCCAAACAGATTTTGTTGGATAAAAGATGGATAGAGAACCTTTATTATGCTTATTGCACACAGTAGAGAACCACTATTTAAACCGTAGCCGTATCACCTAGCAATATAATTGAACCTGCAATTATCGATGACACAAAATATTGCCTATTGTGTTTGCATCCAGATGTCAAAGGTCCAATGCTCATGTAGCATATTGAAGAATTAAGTGGGATGATGTGTGAGGAAAATATTGTGGTTTGTGGTGTTCCATAACTGTTCCTCTCTGAATCACTCTAACAGACAGTGAAAGTCCAGGGCAACAACATCTCACACAAGCTGCAAATCTCCAGAGTCAGCAAGAATGACGACGGACTGTATGAATGCCGGGTGACACGAGCTAACTACGTGGAGGTTGTGGATTACAAAGCCAAAGCCTGGCTGAAGGTCAACGCCACGGCCCGGCCACGACGACCTCTGCTGCCTCCCAAGAAAAGCTCCCCGCTGCACCTGACAGACAAGAAGCCGAGAAAGTCCAGCTCATCTCCGGGCCAAGACAGCATGAGTTCAGACCAGAGAGTGGCCTCAACCTCCACCTCCCACACATCCTCCAACACAGCTCAACACAACCCCGCCTCAGGTAAATAGATATAGGGGGTTATATAACAAGAGCACAGTAGAACAACAAAAAAAGTCATGTAGTCAGATGTTTTACCACCAGCATAAAGACTGCAACATGTCCGATGAGCTCCAGAAGCTTGTGAGTCACCTGCATGAAAATGGGTGTATGGTGGAGAAAACCTAACAACCAACAACAGACCTCAGCATGCATTTATACAGCAGTCAAGTGCAAAGGGGCCTTTTCAGAAAACAGACCATCTGGCCACACTGAACTGACATAGTGCAGGTGTTGCAGAACAAGAGCACCAGCAGGAAAATGTGATTTGAGAGCCAGAATTCACAGAAGTTGGCCAAGCACTTGATGAATCTTTTGTAATAATTAATAACCCTATCAGCATCCATGAAAGGCACATTTTGGAGTTACTATTGGTCACAACTGGCACCATGTAGAAGGAATGTATTATCTCCTGCCAATTCAAAGAGGTGATAGTCTTCCTGCCAAGATGGTGGTATGGTTTTATGGTGGTTGTGTACTGGACATGAATAATTGAATTCTGAAAGCCTAAGTGTGCTGTCATTTGACTGGTTGCACATTAAAAATGTCATTAAAAAATGTCAAGGGTTAATTTGTTTGAACTCTGAGTGAAGCTTCAAGGGCCGAAGGTGGACTGTCACATTTAAAAAAATGGTTTGGAGTACAGCCAGACATTATCGTTGTGATTTCATCCATTTGACCATGAATGCAATTTGAACTTGTCATTTTCTGAAAAGCTAGACAAGCAGCGACTAATATGTGTCCATGTATTTTAATAGTGTTGGCAGTTCAAGATTGTAAATATCAATATTATTAACAACCTTTAGCATACAAAAAATAAAATAAATGAAAAAAAAGGCTTTAGGATATCAATTTCATCACTGTAATGGGGCTCTTGCTGGTTAGGAATGTAGACAACAATATGGGGCGTCTAGTCAGGACATGGGAGGCAGGGATCTCCTTTTAAGGTTTATTATTAACTGCATAAGAAATAGGTTATGGATGCACATGCACTCAGTAGAAACAGTATTGTTGAAATGTGTGTGGTTCTAAAGGAAGGAAACAAACATCACCATTAACTAACATTACATCTAGCAACTCTCCACAATTATAAGTACAGCTACTTATGCATACATGGATAGAGGCTGCCACTCCATACAAACTTTCAACTAAATTACGTCAACAGCGAATAAACCTATGACTACAATTTTGAACAGAAACGACAATTTTTTAATTGCAAACACATCACTTACTTATGGTCAAGAAGGCACACGAACAAAAACGGGAACTTTACTGTTTCACAGAAATGTGAGATTGAACTGCCAGCTGCTTTCTACGCACCAGCGGACTAGAATTTGAAGGGGGTGTGGCCTAGCTACAGATTTAATGTCTCTGCTTCGAGGAGTTAGGTGAAATATTTGTACACCTTTAACACTTGTGGTATCAAGTCGCATCTCATAGCAGCAATGCGAAATATGAAACTGGCCTGTAGAGCTCAAAGGGAGAAAAATTGCATTTGGCTTTATCAATGCATACCACAATGCGTCATCACAGCCTGTCGTTTTATGTTATCTTATTTGGAGTGTTGGAATTCTCTTTATCGAGGGAACAGTTTCAAGTCAATTGCCTGTCTCTAGCATGCCCAAAATGTTGCTGCTTGGCCCACTCACTAATTCTAGGAGATACAAATACAATGTATCCTTTCATGTGTGTGTTTGCAGGCTACTCATGTGCTGTGAAATTGATTTTAATACTTTACTGTTACTGTTAAGGCACTACTCGGTCAGGCTCCCAGCTATATTTTGAATTTTTTATACTTTATAAGCAGCTTCTGAGATCCTCAGGCAGGAATCCTCTGGTGCTTCTTGAAACTCAACATATTACCTTGGGTATTGTTGCTGCAGGCTCTTCAGCTCTACGACTCCCTGCATGAGCACGCTAGTAAAAATCAGTAGCAACTTTTTGGGGTTATTTTTCACATTTATTTGTTTCGTTTCTCAATGCGCGTTAATTATCTTTGTAATTTGTTTAAAACTTTGCGTGGGTAAATCTTGAACATGACCGTATTGGCGGCACGACACATTTGGACCTGAACCAAGAATACTAACAAATAATGGGCAAAAAGAAACAAGCAAGATTTTGTACAAAATTGTCTGTCTTTTCTGCTCACTATAATGTCATCATTAGAAAAATGTGATGGATGCTATAACTGCTAAAAACACACTGACTGTAAGTTGTCTTTTTTTTCATTGAATTTGAACAAATGAAATTGTGGGATATACTGTCCTGTCTGTTATTAGATTCAGCAGGTTGCAAGTAATATCAATGTATTCTTGTCAATAAGCCAATAAGGCTGAAATATTTCCTAAGACGTGTGTGGTGTAATACCTATTGAGTTGTCTCAGTGAGTGCAAACATCATCAGCCTTTGCAATAAATGGAAAACGTGCACACCAGTGGAGGATCATTTAATTTCATTATTGGTAAAGGTCAGTGTTCCCAGTGGAGTTCTTTGTCAAACATGAAGATACTTTATCTATTTAAAGAATGCCTTCTCTTTAAAAAGGAATCATTTCATTTCAAAGAAATTACTTAGAATGATTTGTGTGAGATGAAATCATTGCCATCATTTATTTTTAATAATTTGCTCCCCGGGTGGATAGCGTTACTGCAACAACATAAATGTGTGAACATGTAATGATACTGCTGATTGGCCACGTTTTTTATAACTAATTATCATTTGGAAGACATTTTCCAATATTATTTAAGTTGGCCACCGGCATTAACAAAAAAATATATACAGAAGTTTCCATGTTGACCTCCAAGGAATTATGGACATTAAGTTCTAATGTGCTGTACAGTATAACATCCGTTCAAATTGCTTTAATTAGCTAAAAAAAATGTGCTCCCTCATTCATAACCATTGTTAAAAAGTGATTCTCTCTAAATTGAATCTCAGGAGGATTAAGTACGTAATTGTAGCAGTTTGAATACTAAAAACTCTTGTGCAAACTTTTCAAAGTCTTTCGAATAACAACTTTGACCGTGTTTACTGCTTACCTTTCAAAGCTCAATCAATCAGATGACAGCTGCAAGATAAAAGAAGAGGTAGCCAAAGAAACAAAACTTAAATAGCTGTTTTCACCATAAGGCTCTGTGCCCAACCTTAAAGTTAGCAAAGTACAAGTTGCGTATCATGCGTCAATGCAGCTTTAATGTTCTTAATTAAAGCATTTTCTGATCTGGTGCCAACATGGTTAGGGATTTTTCTAAAGCTTTATGGTTTAGGATAAATGATGACTTATTATTAACCATTTTAACTGTTAGTATACAAAGAGTAGTAGCTGGGCTCAAACTTTGTACACCTCTGCAGCCACTCTGACAACATAATTTTGCACAAATTCTACCATTGGTACTGAAAGAGATTGTTCAAACATGAACAACTTATTGTGGTCATGATAATAAATAATCAATGCTACTAGAAAGGATTGGATTTAATACCCACCTCAGTAAGAACCTTACACTAATATATCTAATCACAAACAAAAAAGTTTGGACCAAATCAACTAAACTAAATGCAACTGCATTTTCACACTAGCTAGAAATGACATAGTTGTAGCAATAAAACATAATTTACCCATAATGTGTATTACCATATATGAAATGTAATGTGCAAGGAGTTGAAATAATGGCCTTTGCAGATTGCCATATTTACTTTCTTGTATCTTCATATTTAACTTTTAACTGTTTAGGGTCCTGATCAGGCAGCCTAGCATTAAGTGGCTCAGTGGAAATTGTCTCTCATTACCTTGTTGCTTTATTTGAATTTCTGACTATCAAACTTTGTTACAACAGTCCTGCTCCTCTTCATCTTTAAATGTCAATCATTTTCTACCTGGTCAGATAGTTCAAACACTGAGTGGGTCCTGCTCTGGGTTCTGATACCCCTCTGCACCCTGAAGCAAAACATAGAAAGATATTACTTGCCGCTGAATGGAGGTAAAAAGTTGAATAATCCCTGCGGCTGCAGAGTCAGAGATTATGAGGCAGCTAAATTATGCTGACAACTGTGTTGCAATGAGTCCTGTGTGCGGTGTGTCTGACAATGATAAATGCCTCTCCGGAGGCTCACAGAGGTGTTACGGCTGAGGGCGACAGAGTTCTATTACTGGTTTGAAGAAGATGAGCAACAATAGGTAAATTGGCTGAGATTAAATAAAACCTGGGAGAGTGCAGATATTTTCCTTTTCCGCATTGCTGCATGAGTAAACAATGAGGCACTTTCCAGATGGAGGGAATGTGACTGTGGCTGGTGAAGCAGTTGCAGCAATAGCAGCAGCAGTAGCAGAGTGGTCTGTTCACAGCTACTCCCCACCAGTGTGTCAGATGTTGTTAGATCATAGCTCGGCCTCCATCGTTTCTGGCAGTGTTTTTCTCTCAAAGCTCAGAGGTGACCAGAGCTGAATGTGTTTTTTTTAAAAAGAAGGAAAAAATGTCCCCTAAGCCAGACTTGTCCTCACCCCTGAGGCCAGCCTGGTTACTGAATGAAGAAAAAATAAATATGGACTCAGTTGAATGCATAAGCATTAATGCAGCAACAACAAAAGCACTGACCTTGTTTTTTTTTAAAACCACCATATTTTTAAAACTGCATCAACTGCATATGTCTAAGGAAAGATTACTAATGAGTCATTGCTTCAGTAGGTGGTTAAGAACCACCGGACTGCTGTTCGTGACTTAATTTCAATTGCTCAAACAATTGCACAGAATGTCATTGTGTCATTTCAAGTTTGTGTAAATGCTTTTCCTCCCTCACTAAAAATGATTTTCTTTGCCTGTAAATCTGGCTAATGTAAGTGAACGCTCAGTGGAGAAAAGTGTGTGACCCAATTAACCATATTTGTGGCTAAACGTCTGCACCAGTGGCTCTTTGTGTCCTCAACTGAAGACTTCTAGGGATACATCCACAACAAAGCATTTGTTTAT